TTAAGGGAAGGCATGTCTGAATACCATATATCATTAAGGATTTTGAGTAGTATTAAAAGAAACTTCTGGCAGGTGTTTTAAAAATTGGTAATGATTTCATCTGGGACAGTTGCAGAGTTTTTACTTTTGCTTATGGATTCTTTTAGTTCTGCCATAGTAAAGAGAATATTGTATTCTTTGTTTGAAGTGAACACAAGTTTTCTTGTTCCATAATATTTTATTTTTGAAATTTGGGACTGTAATGATTTGTTGAAGAATTTGCTATTAGGTTAGCTATTTCTTTTTGTTCCATGCATTTATCTCCATTTGTTCTGATTAAGTGGACTGTTGCAATATGTAATGTTTTTCCATTAATTTTCCTTATTATTTCCCATGTTTTATTTATTGGGGTTTTGTTGTTTAATTTGGAGATGGAGTTTTTCCAAGTTTCTCTTTTAGATTTTTTTTTTTATTATTATTATCATATAGCATGCTTTTGCTCGTGCTTGCTTGTAGTTTTGTAAGTTGATTGTGGTTGGGTTGTGTAAGAATACCTTTAGCATTTTTTCCTGGTTTTAACTGCTTCTCTACATTCTGCTGTGGAAGATTTAGGTATTATCTTGCTATTTGTGTTAGCATGTTTGTAAAGGAGCCTATTGGTTCTGGTTGATTTGGGACGAGCAGATTTCATTGAATTTTAGTCAGTTAGCTTTGTGTAGTTGCCATTTTGGATTCCTTTCCTCTTGCATAGGCTTGCTTATATTTAGGAAAATAGGCAAATGGTCACCACCACATCGTGAACTTTCCATTGAAAATCTATAAAAATTGATAGGGAGTATATGGTTAGGTCAATGGCTGATGTTGATCCAGTACCCGAGTGTAGGCATGTGTGCATTTGGTTATTAAGGATACATAAATCAGATTAGATTCTATAATTTTACCAGCTTGATTGGGGTTCCTACAGCCTCACATTTTGCTGTGTGCATTAAAATCTCCCATTAGTAGAAATGGGGTGGGAAGTTAGTCTTTCTATTTCAGTCTTATTCAGTCTGTGTTTTGGAGGAATATAAATTCAACATATAGTTATTGTTCAATGAAATGAAGCTTTCACTGACATGGTTTGTAGATTTGTGTTTAATTGTAGCTTTTCATGGGGTACTGATTTTTTTTTTTTTACCAATTCTGAGGTACCCCACTTGGCCTATTCTCTATTGTTGATATATTTATTTTATGTTAAGTTTCATATCCTTTAAAGGAGATGTTATCAGTTTCTTTAAGAAATGTCTCCTGTAAGCAGAGCATGTTCGGATTGTAGTCTGTAAGTTGTTTGATTTTGTTTTAACACCTCTATAGTTCCATTGTATTATGCTTATATTTAGTTTACCCATTTGAGTGGGAATGATTTTTTATTTTAGAGAGTGGATCCGAAGGATAACTATGTTTTTGGTTTGTCAATTTCCATATATTCCTTGTTTTCTTTGTTCGTGAACTTGTTCTTCGAGTGTGTGTGTGTGTGTGTGTGTGTGTGTGTGTATATATATATATATATATACATACATATTTTCTTCATTATTTGGGTTCTTTTCATTTTGCTTTTCTTTTTTTTTATCTTTATGTGGGTTGTTGCCCTGTTTATTTGCTTTTAATTCTATTTCTTCTGTTTTGGGGATTTCATTTTTGTTTTGTATTGAGGTTTGATTGATTTTTGTCAGTTTTGTGTTTGTGGAATTTTCCATTTGAAACAATTTGAGTGTTTAGTAGTTGAGAAGTTGTTAGTGAATTTTGTGTTTGATTTACATTTTGCTTGTGGTTGGTTTTGGTTCAACTGTGGGGTTTGATGCTGAGTTTTTTTTTTAGTTTTTTTTTCCTGGCTTTTTTCCAGTTGTCTGATGTTGCTGGGATTTGTTTTCATTTTGGCTATTGAATATTGTTTTGAGACCAATTAAGAGAGATTTTAGTTCATCTAGTAGTGTCTTCAAGTCATTGATCCAGATTGGTGCTTCAATTAAGGGATTTGGCTTGTTTTCATTAATAGTTTTATTTATTCTTTAGGATATATTGGCATATTTAGGATTATTTTGGTGTACGTCAACATTTCTTTCTGAGCTTCTGGAAAGGGGATGTTGTTTTGGTATTTAATTTTGATTATCTCTTTTTCTTGTTTAAAAAATGCTACGGTTCTTTGAGTGGGCATGATGGTTTTCAAAGCAGTTTGAGCACCTGGTTTCATCTAGACAGTCTACCTCTATATGGTTTGCATCCCTTGTATCACATTTTAGTTTATTCTTGCAATTGTTCTTATGGTGTCCAAACTTCTGGCACCTGAAACATCGGAGGGGGTTTGGAATATATTGTTCAACCTTTGTTACTTCATATCCGATCTTTATGGTTTCTGGGATTTGGGGAGTATTGAATGATAGGATGTAAATGTTTGTATTTATCCCTAACTTAGTTTTTCTTTGTTATAATTCTTCTAGCATCAGTGACACCTTGGTTTTTTTTTTTTTTTTAACTGATTTTATTTCCTCCATGTTACACAGTGAATGTTCACTATTTCTTATTAGTCCCTTTGAGAAATTTAAGGTTTTGTGGGGGCAAGTTTTGATATTAATATCTTGGAATTTTTTTTAATCATAATAAAGTGTTTGCATATTTTTTCTTATCAATCTCCACCAGTAATATTCCGTCTCAGAGTTTTGACATTTTTCAGTGCAATATTTTTAGAGAGGACTTTTTGGATCAAGAATGGTGACATTCCAGTTAATGGTTCATTATTAGTTACCCCCAGGACAATAAATTGTGGAAAGTTATTATATTCAGTCTGAGTGAGTTCACAAGAAGTCTTTTGAATGACTTTTTTTTTTCTTTTTTAATTGAGCCATGGATAGTTTTAAGAGTGATTCTACATTCACTACCCACCTTGGAGTCCGATATTGGGACACGGCAAAGTGGGGAACTCATTTTCCTTGCCATGATGTGGCTACGCAAATAGTATGCTAGTTTTGGAAGAGGTTCTTGAGCACTCGTGTTTCATTTTCCTGATATCCAAGTATTACGGATTGTTTTGGATTTTGCACCTATGTTTCAAACTGATTGACCCTCAGCCAGTGCCTTCCATCATATATTTGGGAGTGGGTATTAATGATAATGTTAGTTCCATAGTCATCAGAGGAGGCATGATGGAGTAATGGATAGTAGCTCAGATTGAGGAATCGGAGAGCTGAGTTTGAATTCCAGTTGAATCCATTACATTTACTTACTTGGGAAAGGTATGAATCCTCTTCTTGCCCCAGCTATGGGTAAATAGCAGGACAGACCGGGTTCTGTAGCCTTGGATGTCAACTGGTCTCCCACAGGAAGAAATGGCAACCTACTGCAGGAAAAAATCTGCCTCATCAGTCATGTATTGAAAGATACATGATTGCCTAAGTGTGTATCACTCATGGCACATAGCTAAGTCATCAGCTTCTCAGTTACCAGGATTCCACCCTCAGACATCCTGGATTGCCATCCACAGCAAACAGGTGGGCCCCTTTAGGAGACTTTCACCCCCTGCAGAAGTACCAACAGGGCAGTGAGGTGATTGGGATCAGAACACTTAAAACAAATGATGCCACCTTTCCATGCAATAGCATAATTATGTGTATGTTAAGTGGATGCAGCGACCAATTCATTAGGCTCCTCACTATCTTATAGCAGTCTGAGTCAAAGTCAAAAGCTGGTCTGAAGTCATGGGGTCCATTCTGGATGGTGCCCAGAGAAGTTGCTTGACTTGTTGCAGCAGTCCAGAAATGAATGTGCACACCATCCATCGTTCAGGCAATTTCCCCCAAACAGATTAACTCTGCTAAAAATTCATCTATGCTTTCCCCTCAGCAAAAATGTTGTGACACAAACCAATCAAACATATTGAACAAATCCATTGCATATGCAGTTATAAAGGCCTGCTTAATCTGCTCTGCCCTCTGCTCCTAAGTCAGTTGCTGGTACACAGTAAGATCCCCAGCTTGTAAGTGCAGTGGCAGTATCTGCTTGATTTTCTTCATCTCAGAGTTCACAAGGCAACTCCACATTCTCAACCTATTCTACAATTGGTAGATCAGTAGCAGCCCCACTGAATTCGGGTATTAGTCAAATATCGAAACATCTGTCTGCCATGATTAGGAAGAAGGCCGAAATAGCTTGTAGTTATAGGAAGTTCTATTCCTCTGATGCCACTGGTACAATACAGAGTGTCTTTTCTAAGGATACCATTCTCAAATTCATGCACACATCACCAACATAAAAATTGCTACACCTTTCTAACTGCTTCAGCCCTCTTTTATTATGCCAAAACCATGGGTGACTGACCAATCAGCATTCTTCGCTTAGTCTTCAGTCATACAGTCAAATGTCATCCTCGAGTCCGACCAATCAGCACACAAATGCTATGGGTTGAACCATGCTAAGGTGTATAAAAGCTATTACAGAATCATACACTTCCAGAATAATCTAAAGGGGTGGAGTGGGGGTTTCGTGCCATTTTCAAAGGAAACATCGCTGCTACATGTTGTGTATTGAGATGAGGAACTTATTTTCCTTTGCAAGCTAGTCTTACTTCTATGTAATTGTTCCCCACACAAACACTGTCTGAAACTGCCAGTTGTTCTATCTTATTATGTTGAAAGAACCAAGGTTTCACTTAATGTGTGATATCTGACCAAGTTTATAAGTCTGATGGATTTATCTAATGAAACTGGAAATGCCATTTTTTATAATGGAAATGATGATTTTAACAAATTGTAAATGTTAGAACCAAACTTACTGTCAGTTACTTTCTTTTTTTGCCAGCCAGTATACTCAGCACACATCATTATCATCTATTTTTTTAATCTTAGCTTTGATATGATTTAAAAAATTGAACACCATTTAATTTGCTTTTTTGAAAAGTATTTATCACTTTTTACTGATTTATTTAGGCCTAGCAAATCCACTTAATCCAAAGTTTGGAACAGAAGTATGAATTTTTAAATACAATTTATTTAGCAGATACTATTGAATATACTTAATTGAAAGTAGGACAAAAAATTCAACTTACAATCAGTTGGAAAGCAATCAAAACTGTTTTCATATTCTTCTTTTGTTGCTGCTTCAATCTCGACACCGAGAAACGGACCATCATGCCACCATGGATATCTGTATCCTGGGAGACAGGCACATTGATAACCACCACGGCGAAAACCAAAACCACTTAAAGGTTCACACTAAAATATAATTAAGAATTAAATTATTCAGAAAGAATTTGAGGGAAGAAAATGAACTTGAATTTTGCATACAGAAAAAGAGGAAGCATGGAATTGCTAAGTTATCACTAATCAATGTTTATATCAATTTCTGACTGTAACAAAAGTATTTGCAATCTTCTAAAAGTTGAGCATAAAGGAGACGTCAAATGCAAATCATATAAAGAATACTTTATATATTGACTAGCTGAGGTACCCAGCATTGCCCAGGTGTACATGGCTGCAGTTGTATAACCACACTCCACTGTCTAAAAATTTCTGTCTGCATCCCTGTTTGTATGCATCATCCATTGGCATACTAAGCTACACCGCCCTCCTCCCCACACATTTTTTTACGGTATGTCCTTCATAAGTGTTTGATTATTCTTAATAAAGGAATTCCATTGATAAAACTTTCTTGTGTGGTCGTTGCTCAGGGTTAAATTGTTTCAATGTTTTAGATATTCGGTAAATTTCCTCTGACCGTAACAACTTTCAAATAGTATGGCATTGTTCACAAATCTAATAATCAAACAAAAACAGGGACAAAGTGACAGAGATTAATTCAAGTGCAAACACATGACTGCTCCCACCTTCTTTGCACATTTACTGTAAAGCTGGGGTTAATAAAAGGGTCTTTGGTAATTTTCCCCTTTTAATGCTTCAACAATCCTTCTCAAACAATCTTTGTATCCAAGGTTGTTCGAATGCCAATTTAGGATAGAATCATATGAAGAAACTAAGATTTTTGATCAAGTTTGTCATAGATTTTGTCCACTTAACTGAAATTATCTAAACCAAACATTCATGCAAGACAATTTGTATGTCATATGTAATTTACATGACAAATTTTGAAAGCATTGGATGAAAAACCAAGGAGTTATGGCTGAAAAACAGGCTTTTTTAACAGTTTTTATTTCTTGCATGATGGCAAATTTTTTGTGACATGTTTGAAGAAAATCAGATAAAAAAAGTTATTCAAATTTTTATTTTTAGTATGAAAAAAAAAAAAAAAAAAAAAAGATTTTTTTCAGTTTTTTTGCAATCTTTTGTATGAATCCAATGTCGCAGGAAAAGTATCAAGAACACTACATAAACCTCATAGCATGCAAAGAACATCAGCTCATCCAATAAAAATTTTGTTTGTATGTAATTTTACCTTGATTTTTGCAAGAAATCATACCTTCCTTCAGTTTTATCGATTTTTCTGCCAAACTCAGGGGGCTTGGGAGATTGAAAAGTTCACCTTGACCTACCTTGATAAATTTGCAACATGTGGGTGCAATTTCATCAAAATCTGTCAAGAAATGTGAATGTGCATAAATTATATAAACACACACAGACAGACCTTCTATTTTATGGATATAGATTTAGCAATGGATTCATTTGTGAAACACAAACAATTCTAAATGGGGTGCTAGTCTCCAAGTGGATCTGTAGACATAGAACTGCAAAAATTAACAGTGCTTCTTAGATGTCTCACATGCACTTTCATGTCCATCCAACTGTCAGATGACTTGAAGCAGTTTCCTTAGGATTCTTCCAGGATGGACATTAATAATTAGCTGAAGCCTAAGCAATTCTGAGAGATGAAATAGCAGCAGGGGGTCAACCATAAGCAACTGTGCAACCAATGCAAGATGATATTAAGATGCCCCATCCCTCACTATGAATCCACATAGCAACATTATCTGCTACAAATGCAAGGGTTCAACCCATATGGCAAGAAAGAATGATAGAAGACAGGGAACATACATATACAGCTACTGATATAACAGAACTGGCCACATATTTCAAGATTGCTCAGTAAAGAGAGGCAAGGAATGAGACATCATCTCTAGTCTTTTCTCCATGAAAATTGTGAATGAGGCACTACCTCTCATCAAAGTCTATGTCAACAAGACAACACAGCTTAACCATCTTGTGGTGCAAAAAAGTAACATTATAAATCTGCTACATAGTTTGAAGCAGGGGCCTTTGTGTGTGCAACACTGTATTGACAAACCTAAGTACTGTATAGAATCCACCCAATTGTGAAGCAAGTGAATGCATCATGAAAATAGGCAGAGGACAAAGGGCCAGGCAAACTACAAAACCTCATGTTGGAGTATTCTGTATCCATCCAAGTCAGGGTGGCATACAAGTGTAAACATACAACAGAGCTTTCAACCAGATTTCCATTGACTGGCCAATGACTACCCCATATTGTGTTGCAATCGTCATTCATCTCAGTGTACACAAAAAACCAGGAAAGTCCCAGTGCACATTCATAAGGTCTGTTCCCTGCTAAAGGCAAACCAGAACTAATTTCAATCCCAACCATGACTTAATATATACTAATAACCAGAAATCATTAATGTCTAGTTTGCTGTCACTTGAACTCAAGCTCTTATTCTTCTGTTTGCTGGTGCTGTTTAGAAGACCCAACAAAAACTATCTGCCTGCCACAAAACCCCAAACAGTTTATGTCAAATAAAATATCTCACCTTTCCCCTCTATGTGGGAGTCCCACAAACAGGGGCACTCATCTCATACCCAAACATGAACTTTGACACCTCAGGCAAATGTGTATGTAGTTATGGACTACTGACAGCTCAACAGATATGCTAATACATTTATAGCAGATGCATATATTTGTGCAAACATGACATCAGCAAGGATCTCCCACATATATATATATATTTTCTGGTTGAATCTTAGAGCAATCTACCACCAGGTAGACTTTGTCTATATCAGAGATATTACCTAACAAGACTAAGCTTTAGCTGACAGATTAACCAAAGACATACAGTTGTGGTTTAACTTAATGAAGATAGTTCAACTTTACCATCAGTTTATGCTGCCTCTTTGAAGTTGGACCAGATAACAACCAGTGTAACGAATATCCAGGAGTGAGATACACTACAAATTTTGCAAAAAAGTAAATGCACTTTCACATTAAAAGAAAGTGCAAACAGTGCCAAACAATAGACCTAGTATTGGTTCACAGACAAAAGAGAAAGTGCTAGTGATTAGCAATTGATATAATTGTCCACCATGGCAGTGAGATTACCTAACACCATCTGTGGTCTGTTGTGTGTGTGCTGGCTGCTGTTATACCAAAACTCATTTTTGTATTATGCATCAGCTGGAGTATACATTTAGTGACTAAAGTCTATTGCTAAAGCTTATCACAGACAACAATGATACTCTTCAGCAGAGAGTTCAGGACCCTTGCAGAGAGTTGTGACATGCACATGTTTCTGATGTGCATACATCCCCGTAGGAAATGAAATAGAGAAATGATATTATAAAAGCATGAAAACTTTGGCTAAAGGAGATTGTTGTAAGACGAGCAGCAGAACACAAAATATAAAATCCAGCCTACAAGATGGATGAAACGTGTGAGTAAGGATAGAGATATTACAATAAACTCTAGTGAAGTGGACAACAAGATAAAGTGAAAACAGAATCATGATCACACCATCCACTATAATGGAGCTCATGGCAAAAGAGGCTACCCAATGGGTTGCATTTACTGTGATAGATTGAGGGGAGTGTATGAAAGAATAGGTTAGCACCAACCATCTCAGTAAAAAAAGAAGTGGCCGCAAACTGTATTTTTCCTCTTCATTTTAAATAAACTATTGATCTCTTAAAAGTTATCTTATCACATGAAAAATTTTTGCAAAGCAATTAGAAAAATTATTTTACATTTTTTTTTTTTTTAAGAAAAGAATCTTAATGAATTTAATCACAGATAAAATAGGCACTGAAAGTTTTCCGCATCCATTACTTGAATTGCCATTCAATTTTTAATTTTAGAATGTGAAAGCATCAAAATTTTCCTGCTGCTTTTCAAATGACACATTTTACAACAATAAGCCACTTTCAAATATAAATTCTATATTCAATATTCATATGAAAATTTCTCCAATCTTTGAGTGGTTTTAATTAACCATACATATACTTTGCATTGTTATTTGTAATAAATTTATTATATTTAAACTTTTAAAACAACAATTCACTTGATAAAGTCCAATGAAAAAAATGTTTGAATAATCTAGACTAAAACATGTATATACACAAAACTAACTAAATTTTGAATTAGAGGTTATTCAACAGGAATTAACTTCAGGACAAGTAAAAGGATCCCTTGTATGTAAAATTTGAGAATTTATTTTTCAATTTCAACAGATAAGAAAAAAAATAAAAATGCTAGTTACCAAAGTTGTCTTTTTGCATCTGGCTGTATTAGCAAAAAAGTTTGGTGATGGGTTTCCTTCTGATAATGGACATGGATTGAAATCAATCCTCTCAAATTCCAGATCAACAGAAGTTGCTGCAACATACCTGGTTTAAATATCAACAATTCATTCCTACATTGGAAGAACAAACAATTTGAAATTTAAAATTAAACAAAGCCTTAAGTGAATTTAGATTTAAGAAACCCAGAAATGTTACCTTATTATGAAAATAAAAATTAAATCAACTACTTTTTAATCTCATTTTAAAAATAACCTTAAGTTTAGCAACTTTAGTTCATTAGAAAGTAAATAATGATTGATAAAGAATGTTAAAATACATACATTTTACATTGTACTCAAGTTATTTGTATATCTTTAACATCCTTTTTTAAGGACGAGTGATTTGGAATCAGTTTTAACTTCAAAAAGATAAAAAATATTTTGTAATAACATAAGTACAGCATTTTTTCTTACTGAAATTAAATTTTAATACCCACCACATCTTTTAATATTATTGTTTAACTTCAACAGAAATGCTCATTAGGGCTAGTATAATAAAATTCTAAATCTCATTTTATCATTGGTGCAAAGAAAATTTAATGACACTAAAAACTCAATTGGGATATTATCACCATATGTTGTGTCACATCAGGTCACCAAATTATAACAGCGACTTTACTATTAACAAAAAAGTGGAAGTGACAAAACAACAAATGGAGATAAGACATCATGGAGATCAGAAAAAAAAATTTTGCTCATTCCTCCAACATGGGCACAGATCCTTCACATGGCAGGGCATTCTGTCCACCAGACAGCACTGTGGACTGACTATTTTAGTCACTATGAACACTGTGGTACCTTGGCCCACACATGATCTTTGACCTGGTAGGGGCTGTGCCCAGGATATGCAGATGTTGCCACAGCATTAATCCCCTTCACCTGAATTTCATATCAGTAGGTCACATTGGCCAGTGCAATCAGATGAGAGTCATCATCCTTTGGAGTCATGTTGTGCCAGTGGACGACCTCCTGAATGGAACAGCACATCCTGGGTGAAATTCACTTCATTTTATGGTGACATTGCTCCACTATGCCATTCCCAGCTGGGGTGTACATGCAACGAAATTGCAGATTTATTCCCCAATCATCTGCAAAAAGGTCTGAACTTCCTGCTGCAGAAGGCTGTATTATTGTTTGTAAGGAGCTTGTGCAGTGAGCCACACTCAAGGAACAATGCTTCCAGCTGCCAAATCATGCTTGCCGAGTCTTGTTTCACCAACTGCTTCCAAATGGAAAAATGCAACAAGCCACAGTCTGTGAGCATTAAGAAATGGTGGGAACCATGATGCATGATGTCCATTCCTATCCTCTGCCAGTTCCTGTTCACATCCAGCTTTCCCTTCTCCCAACAGATTGGTGCTGGGTCTATAGATTGGCATTCTTTGCACGCCCATATGGCCGACCTAACAGCTGCTTTTGTTGCTGCCAGGCAAACTCTCCTGGCAAAGTAGCTGGTGCTAGATTCTAGGAGTAATTGTCCTCTGTACCCAATATATTTTTCGAAATGGTTGCAACAGTAGAAGACTACTGTTGACCTATAAAATGATAACAGCTCATAGGCTACTGAGCATAAATAAATTATTTACTCCATGTTTTAAGCAAAAATTAAGCATTATTTTCTTTACAAAATTCATTTAATTAATCCTTAAATTTACTAATTTTGTCTTGAAATTTCTAGCACAAATATTGGATTTGCAAGAGATTTGTTATATTTGTTGTTTTCATTTTTTTGGTATATAATTAGATATGTCCAAAGATTTGCTAAAAAATGAGCATACATGAAAAAAAAAAAAAAAAAAAATGTCTCATACTTAAAAACAAAGTTTTATTGTCAAAATCTTTGTTATTATTAAGAGGAAAGATCAAAGGATTTTATGACCATTAAATTTCATTTTTTTTTTAAATCCTTTTTAGAATCTTCAGAATTTTGGTTAAAATTTTTTTATGCCAATTAGTAAATTTAAATCAAATTTTTTTTTGTAAAACGGGATCCCAAGTGAACAAAAATGTGATCTGAATCATAAAATAAAAATGCAATAAAACTGACATTATTTAATTAGAAAAGATTTTAATTGACTTTATGAATAAGATATTATGGACACAAAAGACTTTTTGATTAATAATGAATTTTTACAAGAATTGATTTTTTTTTTTTAAATTATAATTTGTAAAGTTTTAAATCTTAAAATTCTGTATTAATCTGTAGTGGTTAGGTGATATTGCTATTAAATAAAAACTATATTGATTAATCATAAATGGAAAAGCTAACTACATTTCAGTGATCCCCAGTATTTTAAAAAGAATTCTGAAATTTTTTGTGTGTATATAAATGTGCCTATTTTTTTTTTTTAATTACACATGCCCACATATGACATTATCAGAAAATAAGAGCAGTAACTACAGTAAATTTGAAGCCAAAATAACAAAAATTCAATAAAATATTAGATTACTTAGAATATCTTCCTAAATTTTTAAGATTACTGGGCAGTTAAAAAAATTATATTAAAGTGTCATATTATATATAAGTAATTTCTATTGATATGTCTCCTGTAGAAAAAAAAAAAAATTAAATTTCCCAAACATCAGTCTGTCAATACCTTATAAAAACACACCTCCATGTTAAAAAAAGGCTCTTCTGCGACATTTTAAACTAAATGTTTTGTTTCAAATCAGATTGGTTAAATTTTAAATCAGATAATCTTCCTCAAATAAAGTTTCAGAATATTTTCTATTTTTTGAAGATTTTTTAATAAAGAGAATTATGTTGTGCTGAGAGAATTGTAAATATGGCTAAATTCAGCAAACTTTAATTTAAAAAAAAAAAAAAAATTCTCATTCCAATCAACTTAAATTTATTTTGAAGTACAGCAAAGTTATTTTAAAAATGTTAGAATTGTAAATGAACAATTGTCCAGGTTGTTTTTTTGTTTTAATACATGGTTTTTGAGAGAAGTGTATTTTTCTGAAGGTCAGACGGTTAGTTTAAAAATTGTTCTATTTGTTATGGCCTTTTTGGCTCAAGTAGTTGATACTGCCAAAATTTAATTGTTGCGGATTCATTTTTTGAATTCATGGAGAAAGAAGTTTCATACATTAGCCAATGAGAGGTGAGATTTTCAAACCTCTGTGAAATTCTGGCCGGAGACTGTATGACTTTTGTTCAATAAAGGACTGCTATTAAGTGAACAGCAGAAAGAACAATTGAAAAGCAATTAACAGTTGATGAGGAAACATTAGCAGCCATGCTTCAAGAGAATTGATCCAGCTGAGCGGGTCATAAATTAACATGGGTTTTGGGAAGAAAAAATTCAACAGATTCAAACCCCAGGAGAGAACATTTCTTTCTGTGCCTTCCTGAGAAGAATTTAGACCAAACTTTCAAGTTTATTTTGAGTTACTGTCCTTTATAGAGGAAAAGTAACACCTCATTACATTTTTTTTTTAATTTTTTTCAGCTTTGATAAACTAATTTGTAATAATGCAAAATGTCAGAAAACAATGGTTACTGATGCTATAGTGTCTAAAATTATAAAACTCTATAAACGTTTTCTCTTAAAAAAAAAAAAAAAAAAAAAAAAAAAAAAAGAAAAATTCTATTCATTTGATTTATGTTTACACAAAGTTATTTTTGGGAGCTAAGATTACATTTATTTTGTTTTCTTTTAAATAAATATAAACTCACATTCTTTTTCCTGAATTATAACTTAATTTATGAATTCTTTTTATACAGATACAATAAATTTAAATAAAAGTACTGTGATGGAAACATGGCAATTTAAAAATTTTAAACAGCTGGCATATTTATCAAAATATACTTTTAAAAAAATGCTATGCTAATGTCTTGTTCATGTTGTGAATGCAATTTGTTAGCTTTATTCAGTGTCGTGCAACGGTTAGCACATGTCTCACTAGATCAATTACAACCAAATACTGAGTGATCATCACTGTGTACCCCATCTAAGCTACACTTTGCAAATTGCTATTTATTTTTAGAGGGTACATACATTTACATCTGATTTTTATATTCTTAAACAGTGATTTCATCCATGTTTTTAGCTCTCATGAGAATGACAATTGCATTTTTTTTTTTTTTTTTTGTAATTTCTGTTTAGGTGTCTGATGGGTTTTCAGGTGATGAGCAAGACTGGAGCAGTTTTCTGACAGCCTGAATGTGAAATTCTCAGGCTAGTAGTGATCATAATTTGTCAAAGGTTTACCATTATGACTTCTTGTGGCTAAGGCAACATGTGATCAATGTGACCACATGTAAATTCATGGAATGCTGGATCAATGTATCCCACATTTCCAAGCTGTATGCATTCATTTGCCCAATACATTGCATGTTTTGGAAGATCTGTGTATATCCATGAATTTTACACCTCTCATTCAATTTCAATCACAAGCAGCAGTCCCCACCACACACACACAAAAGATCTATATGAGGGAGTCTTTTAAACAGTCCTTGAAACACTTCCTTGGGTTATGCCATATAGCATTTGCTTGGGTATTCTGATCTCTTTAAAAGGTTGTGGTGATGAATGTGTGTGTTGATGTTGAATGCATTGGCCTTTTCAAAGACAAGTATCTGGCATGATACCAAGAATTGATCTTAAGCTACATCGCCCCAGAGCATCTAAGTGTGTGCAGTACACAACTGTAGCAGAATTTTATGAGGGGATAAAATGCAATCCAGTAGTCACACATCAAGAAATCCTTCACACAGTGTAACAACTTGTAGAAACAATCCAATGGCCAGTGATTGGTTGAGGTGTGACCTAAAATTTGCATCATGTTCCCGTATATAAAAAGGAGCACACATGCTCTTTTCTTACATAGGAAACACATAACACACCATCACTTGTTTTGACAAGGTAAGTCACTATTTTCTTCACTACATATCTCACAGCAGTATAGCAGGCACAGAGGTATTTTGACAGACATCTTTGTGTACTTAAGTCCTTTCTGAGACCAGACTGTTTTAGAGCTGCAATAGCATCAGTTACTTTCTTTACATGAGCAGATATTTCATCATCACATGCAGTGTGT